GATCAAAAGCATAGAAGACAAACTGTGTAGGTTTGACCTGATATTTTCATGATATTTTACAGTTTATATTATACAGATTGGTTTATAGAGAACACAGAACTAGTAAGTCAGTAATTACATTGATCGAAGGCTTGCAGTACTACATACAAAGGCACCATGCAGTTTAAGCTGGGTTTTTAAAATAATGAAAAAGCAATTTCAGAGAATAACGGCATGAAGAAGAACTTTTCACCCCAAATGAACTGGGCATTAGAGGTAATACATGGTCTGTTCATTCCTGATGTCTACATACTTGTAGATGGTGGGGTGGCCAGAATAGGCGTTTTTCTCACTCCGAACGCTTCAGGTCAGGGGGGACTTCTTGAATGACAATGCCCTTCACATCTGCACCTTCACATGTCCACTTTATTCAGACAGACAGACTATAACTTAAATCCAGGTCTTAATCCCCGATACACCCAGGGAGAGGGCACAGTGAGGTTAAACCACACCGGCCGCCTCCTCATTACCACTTTAAGATTCGTTTGGTTTGTGACAAACACATAAATGTACATGGATCACAATACGTACTTTTAATTTAGTGCAACAGCTCCATGTTTCCATTTTCACTGCCATCGTATTGAACCCGATACTGGCTGCAAAATTCTGACAAACAAATCTATGACTATTTTTCATGATACTTGTACTTTTAAAATAAATGTACATCCAAAAAGGGCATCTGTGCCGAAAGGGTTCATACCAGTATTGAATACAGGAGATTAAAATGACATAATACATTAAAAGTTTTCAGTTTTCTTAAAAAGTGAAGGCATGCTTGCCCCTTTTGCGAACACCTGGTGCCATTACTCATTTTTAGTGATCCATTCACATATTTTTTACCAAAATTTCACATGACCCTTTCACATAAAATGGGATTTGTTTCGTTAAATAATGAAAACTCTGGCATGACGTCTTATATATATTTGGTGTCGACACTAATGACTAGAAACCTTTCATACTTGTATGTACACTGTAGGTATAGAGTTAGAACAATCCAACCAAGTAATTAACACTTTGTATCCAATCAAGTAAATGTTTATGATGTAGTCGGAATCGGACAATCAACTCCACTATTGACAGAGATTTTGTATAATTGGAAGGGGTTTTATATTTCGTGCCCCCTCTAAACTTTAGACTCTTCAGTATAAATTATTTGTCATATTTAGTTTTATATATTTTAAGCTTCTGTGCGTGGGTAGGTATATATAGAGAATATCAGCCGAGTGTCTTTTGATATCAAATATATCAACACAACTTGATAAAAGTGGAAAAACTCCGAGTCTTGTCGTGTTTTTTTCCCTCTTTTATCAACGAGTGTGGTATGTTTGATATCAAAAGACACGAGGGTGAGATTATATTCATGATCCAACATCTTTCTTCCAATTTTTGCAGTTTGTAGACAGTAATAAGCTGTGTCTAAAATGTGAAAAAGTACTGCTAGCAGCTTCAGTAGCAGAGCCATTAGTGATATCATTTGATTGTGACGTCATGGTAACCAATGACGTAATTTATTATAAATAATCACTTTTGGGACATTTCCAATTTTATTCAGATGGAGCTAAACTGAACTGCAAATGCACATTTGAAGATAATGTGAGTAGCTAGGTTGCTACTCCAGCCCACTATTACCTAACCACCACCACGTACATCACCCTCATTAAAAAGCCATTTATCAAACTACCACATGCTGATTTTGTTATCTTTTAATCTCCACTAAGCCATAAACATAACGCCCCAATCATCTTTGATCTCCACTAATCCATAAACATGGTATTTATCAACATAAGGTTTACTACGTTAGAGTGAGTGAGTGAGTGAGTTATTATTTAAAGTCACAGCGGCAATATTTCAGCCATATCGTGACTTGAACAAGGTATAGCTTATACAAAAAAAACTGTCGTCAAAGGACAGTACAACAACTAGCAAGATATCACAGATTATAACTTTAAAACTAGTTTTAGAACAATAAAATGATTGGATTATGACAGACGACACATCATAAAAACAGGCGATTGATCACCAACAACTAAAGGTAGGCCACCATACCAGGGGCCAAGGGGGCTTACAGTACTTTTGCTACCTGCATGGACCCCGGCAGGATTTACACCAACCCTTCAGTTATTGGTGAGTGTGGAGAATTTAGCCAAAATTAAAATAAACAATCATTCTACGATTAAAAACCTGGCATATATGAATTACTTTGAATGAAGTGGGCTTACGCACCCTCTCAGGGGGACAATAATTTTACGCTACTTCAACCCCCATCAAGGGTACAACCACTAACAATCTCAGTTCATAATCATATACTACCAATTTATAAAATATATAACTGTCTACATCAAAATTTATTAAGCAATTCAATTTCTTTTAAAAAATCAATGATTAAATGAGAGTTTATGTTAAAAAGATCCTTGAGTGATGAAACTTTGAAATAGTTATCCCTTGTGATGGAAAAATCGATACAGTCAAGCAGGACATGCTTGACTGTGATCCTTTCATCACAAGGGATGCAGAAGGGAGGATCTTCACCTTTTAAAATATATTCCTGAGTGTAACGGGAATGGCCAATACGACATCGTCTTAAAATGACCTCTTCAAATCTGGACTGACAACCCAAGTAGGTATAACCGATATTTGCTTTTATTGCATGTAATTTATTTATACCTACTTGAGTGTCCAACTTCTTCTGCATTAGATCACGGATGTAAGATCTAATGATAGGTTTATAATCACTGTATGGTAGAAGAAGTGGTGTCACAGATTTGCTGAGAGCTGCTTTTGCAGCAGCATCGGCCATTGTATTACCAACAATTCCAACATGGCTCGGCAACCAACAAAAGACGATGTCGTATTGGGCAGTGGCGAGAACATTATACAATTCTAAAATATCAAGAAGCAGTGGATGATCTGAAGAGCAATTATGTATGGCCTGAAGGCATGACAATGAATCAGAAAAGATTATGAACTGTTGAGATGATTGGTTTTGAATGTATTCTAATGCTGTAAGAATAGCATTGGCCTCAGCCGTAAAAATAGAACTATTACCAGGAATTCGTGAAGACACTCTTTTAGATCCAATGACAGTGGCACTTGAAACTTTGCCACCGTCCTTTGAACCATCGGTAAAAATAGAGCGATGAGAATCATATTTTGACCTTAATTGGGCATATTCTTGTTGATATACCAATGGGTTTGTGTCAGATTTCTTTAGGGTAGTTAGTGTTAGGTCTACCTCTGGTTTAACTAGTTGCCAAGGAGGTGTAGACAGTAGCCGGGTAGGTGAGATAATAGAAAGATCAATATTAGCTGCTGTAATATGTGGCTGAATTCTGAACCCTAGTGGAGGAACAAGTGTTGGTTTTGATTGAAATAATGTGGCATACATGGGATTAAACACACACTCATATGCTGGATTCGAAGGATTTGAGTACAATTTAGTCACATATTGTAACGAAAGTTTGATTCGACGTTGTTTTAGAGATGGCTCATCGGCCTCTACATATAAGCTATCGACTGGTGATGTTCTAAAGGCACCAAGACAAAGTCTCAGGCCTTGATGATGTACTGAATCTAATAATTTTAAGTTGCTTTTACAGGCCCCACCATAAATGATGGAGCCATAATCGAGTTTGGAACGGATAAGAGAACGATATAAATGAAGGAGGGTTGTCTGATCCCCTCCCCATTTTGAATGAGAAACGACTTTCAACAAGTCAATTGCCTTCAGACATTTAGTCTTCAGATATTTGATATGTGGTAAAAATGTTAGATGATTATCGAATATAATACCCAAGAACTTGGCTTCCTTAACAACATTAATAGGAAAACCAGCCAAAAATAGTTCAGGGTCTTTATGCGGCTTATATTTGCGGCAAAAATGGATACAGTTTGTTTTGACTTTGGAGAACTTAAACCCATTCTCTAGACACCATTTCTGTATTTTATTGAGGCATAATTGTAGCTGTCTCTCAATAGTGTGCATATTTTTACCACGACAAGATATATTAAAATCATCTACGAAAAGTGATCCATCCACTGCATCATTTAAAACTTTTGAAAGACTATTGATTTTAATACTAAATAGAGTAACTGACAAAATACTTCCTTGGGGGACACCCTGCTCCTGATTATAATGGTCAGACAGGGTTGAACCCACTCGGACTTGAAATTGCCTGCCGGTTAAAAACTGTGATATAAAATGTGGTAAGCGGCCTCTCAGACCAAACTCGTGTAAATCTTTTAAAATGCCATGTTTCCAGGTAGTGTCGTAAGCTTTCTCAAGATCGAAAAATATTGACACTGCATGTTGTTTGTTAACAATAGCATTTTTCACAAACGATTCCAATCGTACTAAATGATCAATAGTACTACGATTTTTGCGGAAACCACATTGAATATTTGTTAGTAGGTTATTGGTTTCTAAGAACCAAACTAAACGATTATTTACCATTCGCTCCATGGTTTTACATACGCAGCTTGTTAAGGATATAGGACGGTAATTTGATTGATCTGTATGATCCCGACCAGGTTTTGGGATAGGGACTACAATGGCATTATGCCAAGAAGGAGGAAAATTCCCCGACGTCCATATTTTGTCAAATATATCTAAAAGTGTTTCTAGACATGATATAGGCAAATGTTTTAGGAGCTGATAGTGAATATTATCAGCACCAGCCGCTGTATCATGAGCTTGCCCTAGGGTACTACGTTAGAGTCATTCTCCAAACACATATGGTCATTCTGTACTTACATCTAGGGTCATAATACCCAGTCTCGCACAATTTAACAGTGCACGCGGCTAATTTAATTACCTGCAACCTTTCACTCTCTCCCACCTGGTGAGTGTCATAAAGTTTAACTCAGTAAAAAATTATAGGCTCGCATTCTATGCAACCACACAGCGTAAAAGCTAAATTGCATAAAACCGTATCTAAACAATCTATTTAAATCAATACCAGTCTATGTGCAAATACTGCCCAGCCTGCTATCATACAATGCAATCTGCAGCAATCTGCTTCCTCAACCGCACCTTCATGTACCCAGTCGCGCACAGAATCCTATGCTATCTGGCTGTAGAGGTGTATAGCAACTGGGAGCTTTTTAGACACCTCTACTTCCATCTTAACCAATTCAACATCGAAATATTGAAGCTGCATGTGGATTTTGAACTACTAGAACGCTTCTACATCAGGAATGAAGAAAAGAAGGAACGGTAAGTGCCAACACACCTTATTGCATCTTGCAATCTTATTTAACATATTAGCAAGAGTGCCACTTGTGTGCTTTATAATGTGTATGATGATCAATGTTTAAACACGGCTTCTTTTCGTTGCAGCCGAAGAACCACTACGGGAGATTTTCTGCTCAGCCTTCAGCTACCGGTACATAAAATGGCGTGTAATCACACACCCCTCAAATTAAGTCGTCACAACACCACACAGCTTCCCATCATATACGAAGATGAGGGGCACACACTGCCGGGGAGAGCCGGCAACATGCATTCGGGAAGGCGTATTTCCGGCTCTGCTAAATGTTTATACTTATGCATTAAATAATGTAGCTTACACACCGTTTTGGAGTTATTATCTAATTCATTACAAATAGGGTGGGCTGTTTTCAGCCTTAGTAACCGCTGTATCATTAGCATTTTACCCTCATCAAGAGCATGTCCACAAACTTCATGGCAAAATGGTGTCATGCTTTCAAAATACAAAACCCCGCGTCCAAATCACAAAGGTTTGCTTGCTTGCTCGTTTTACGCTGTACTCATCAATATCGCTCCTATATGGCTGACTACACACTCTGCCAGCTACTTCTTACGGCAAGCATAGCTCCCTTTTGGGTAAGCACGGGTTGCTCAACACCGCATATCTTCATGGGGCACGCCTTAATGTAAGTGCATATGCTACCTACTACATATGCATACTGTATATGCTACCGTGCTTATGTCAGGCAGCGTAACACACAATGAAACTAAAGCATTTATACAGATTGTTAGCAGGTGTGTATGTACGTGTGGGTGCACGCATGTAGCACCCTACACATGTGTGGTGTATATAACACACTTTGCAAGCAACAAAAAAGAAATACCCCACAATTAAATAAGTACACAAAACAATATATGTCTGAGAAATTTTATTATATTAAGTAACAGCAAAACACTCCAGCTACCCTTCTTCTTCCGACTCAGTGGCGGGGTTACATATATGACAATTTTTCACATCTTCAGCCGACTGGTGAGCTTCATCGCAATACCTGTTTATACGCCGGCTGGGGCGTCTTCTTCCTCTTTCGGTGGTGTTGTAGGGGCGGGCTCATTTCCAGCCTTCTGGGACGTCTGGGGCTTTTCTGCAGCCTTTACCCACTTTGGGCAATAACGGGCCTGATGGCCTTGCATCACCACCTTGCACCACCTACACGGTAGCACACAGCCGGCAGCAAAATGCCCCATATTCCCGCATTTGTAGCAGTCATAAGCCGCTAAATGGGGTGGTGGGTCCCCACGTTTCTGCCGGGCTATGCACATGGGGCATGTGTACGACGTATGTTCGGTGCTACCGCACCCTCGCTCGCCGCACGGCTTCGTACACTCACTTTAAGAGGCAGTTATGAACACTTTTTATCACTATGGGTGTTTTCCTTCGATTTCATAAAATCCAGCACAGCAATTTCGTCGAAAGGGTTGCCGGCACGCACACATTTTGGTTCACGCCCAATGGTCGAGTGATGTGACGAGTTATAGCCACGCACAAGGGCCTGTAAAGCAGCCCTGTATTTCTTAGTTCTGTTTCTTGTGAAATACCGCCACATCCTAGATTTTAATGTACGCTGGAATCTCTCTACTACAGCGCATTTAGTATCAGGATTTCGGCTCGTGTAAAAATGTGCCTTTACAGCATTTCCCACAAATTCTTTAAGGGTTTTGTTATTAAATTCGCCACCGTTGTCGCTCTGTACGTTTTCTGGACGTCTCCCACCTGAAGTGTTTAAGATTCGCTTGAAACCTGACACCACAGCATCGGGCCGTTTCGACTTCAATTCACGAACCCAGGCCATCTTGCTGAAAGCATCTATTACGCACAGTAGATACTTATACCCATTATTTACTTTGGAAATATCCTCACTTAAAACTGTCAAATCGGTTTGCCACAGCTGATCTGTCTTGCACACGGTGCTCGAATAAGCAGTTCTTGGAAACGTCCGTTTAACACTCCTGTGCAGCGTGTAAGTTTGCTGTCCTTTTAACCATTTTTTAATAGCTGCTACACCAGGCTTTTTCAGTAATGTTACGAACTTATTTACAGCAGATATCAAAGAACTAGCACCCCCGTAACTTTTGGCATACTTAGGTCATAGTAGCGTTTTGTCAGCCAGCGGTTCCAATATACGTTAACCATCGTATGGCGCCCAGGAGAATTGCTCTTTTTTCTTTGAACCATGTTTCTTTAAAGATAAATTATCAGAGTGATACACCTTCCAGCGTTGCCGATTGCCAACCATGCTTTCGCTCAGCCCTCCATCCTTAAGTATCCTCAGAAATAACCCCCACCCTGCCGGAGGCGTTTTGTTATTTGCCCTAGATCGAGCCAAATCACCTATCAAATCGCAAACTTTATGGCCTTCTAACACCTCCTCATCCACTTTCAAATGCCCATATTCATCCCATGACAGCCGAGGATGTTGGATTCCCCTGTTCAAAATATTTTGTGCCCTGCTTTGGTAGGTTTGGGGAAGCCTTCTCAAAACGTTCTCTATCACTTCTCTTCTTTCTGCTTTATCACCCGTTTCCGCTGTAGCACCAATGCTGCTAGTAGAGGGGGAGTCGGCTGACCCCTTCACGTGTTTTATTATTGGCGCTGCTTCGCTTTTCCTAGCAGCGTTTTGTAGATTCAGACCTCTCTCTAACAGTTCATTGTAAGTACCCATTTTCTCGGAAGAATTGCCAACCTTATCGGCTGCAGTGTTGAGACGCTCCAAGTTATCAACCCTTAAACTGTGCAGTAGGTGGTCCCTATGTAACACTCCGGTACTTTCTCTGTCTCTACACCCTTTAAGATTTTCGAATAGCATATGCGGTATGAGCACCATTCTTTTTGCATGTCTTCCACTCTCCATACCTGCACTAATTCTACCCCAAAACTCCTGACAAAAGCTTTATAGCCAGTGGGGCTAGAACCCCAGCAATAGTGCCGAGAAAACCCCCTTTCTGCTGAAGTAAATGTCTTTTGCGCGATGTTGGGAGATGTTTCTTACACAGAAGAGGTAAACTACCTTCGCGTTTTAACAGTCTGTTTCTCTGCGCTGAGGTCATAGGTAGATTGCCCATGTAAATGTTTCTAGCTACCTCACTAAAGGAATCAAGCACAGGCTTTGGTAACGTTTTTATAACCCTGTTACGTGTGGCTGGGCTAGCTCTTCACAGATAATGCAGCACGTCAGCATTCTGCTTCACTCTACTGCGCCTTAATAAACTCCTATGCTTACCGCCACACTTCATTTTTTTGCTACAGCCCCGCATACTGTTACCTTACGTGGATCCCCAGGGTGTGGCAGGTGGTAAATTGCCTTGATTTCTTCTCCCACCCCTGTTTAAATACATCCCAGGCTGACGATTTCTTTACACACTGATTTTGTTTTTACGTACGCCTTCAAATCGTTCAATGAGATCAGCATCAGCATCATCAGTATCACTAGCAACAGAATCAGTATCGCCATCTTCAAGGTCATCGCTACTACATTCACTATCAACAAGTGCTGATACTTCACCAAGACGGCTCCGTTTCTTCTTACTACGCCCTTCACTGGGGGTAGCAGTGCACTGACGCGGGGTGTAACTTTCGGCAACTACAGCGACGTCTTCATCAACGTCATCAACTTCATCGCTGGACGATGACACACTGCTGCTACAGCTATCAATGCCAAAGTCGCTGTCGCTGCTGCTACTGCTGGTGCAGCTGCTAGAAGAGCTATCATCTGGGGAATGCCCTGCATAGTGTAGTCTGTCGTGCGGTGCTCCTGACATTGTTTTGGCTATAACTCTCACTGCTGCTTAGGGGTGGCGGCTACATGTATTTATACCTTTTACTGTATCACACCGGTATGTACACATCAATACAGCCGTCCTCATCAAAAATATTGCCACGTACTCTATATTCCTCTGCTGTTTGAGGAGTCAAATTCAACAAAAGGTAGCTGTGTGGAGCTTTGGTGGCTTGGTAAAAAGCATCCCTGATGAATTTAATCTTTGTAGGATAAACCTGGCGAGCTAAACACTCAATCTGGGAACCGCCTCTGGGATTTTTGAACACTACAATGTGCGTACAGTTTAGGCTAATGCACCTGTGGTATGTTGTGTTAGCAAACAGGTTTTGCTGCAAATATATCACGGATGTATTTCTGTGGTGAGATTTTTTAACAAACCATCGTAGTAATTCACGTTCTTCCTCCTTACACACATCCCCCAATAAATCATCAACCACAAGCCACTTTTTCCCTAAATCATCATCTGCAGGAATAAGCGTGTCACTCTCCAATACCGTGCGTACAAAGTGTACCACAATGTTTAGGGTCGAGCATATGCGCTTTATACTCTCATATAACGGCTGCATCTCGCTATACACCCACACTATTGTAGCTGCTTTACCGCCCTCTACCACAGCAATAGACTCGTCCATAAAGCTCTGCAACAGACCTGCAACGAATGTGCTTTTACCCGACCCACTTGGTCCGCTTATTAACACACGGAAAGGGTATTTAAACTCCACACACTCTCTCTCCATGGTCGTCATGCTGCTCCGGCTCATACCTGCCTACGGTGCAAAGCGCCAATTCAAAAGAACTGGTAACGAAACACCAACAACTGTTTTATACTCAATACATCTTTTATTCCACAAGGTTACAGACATACATGAAACACAGCCGTGAATGTTGCGCATATACATCAGCTTGTACACGCATATCTTAGCTATACATGTAATAAAACAAAGCACAGTACGCATGGTACACATCTGCAGCAGAAATCACACTGTGGCACCGACTTCACCACAGCAGGATCCGCACATATAAAGTTTAGAAAGTCAGACACTTCATCGTTGCTCAATAGGGCACCCTGCTGCTGTGGTAGTGTGGGAGCAGGCTGCGGGGGTTGGACACTCACCCGCTTTGCCTTCGTCCCTTTAGCGCCTTTGGAAGGTTGAGCTTGCTTCCTCTTATGCTGCCTTTTCTCCTTCTTAACAATCTTTTTCTCCTTCTGACCATTAATGTGCGATGTAGAACCATACGTTTCCGTCTGACGGTGCATCGCCTTTAACTTCTCCTGTACAAACAGCGTAAAGCGTGGCCACACAGGTGACTTCTCTGGTTCACACACATCTCTACCGTAGTTAAGCAAGTTCACCACACTACTCACGCATTGTGCAGCACCGTGTATGTGCGGCCACTGTTCCTTGTTCATGGGTTCGGCGAGAAATGCCTGTATTTCTTGCTCTTGCAATGTGGCACACGCGTCTGTAGCAGCTTTATTTAATACATTCCAATGTGTAGAAATGAATGCCATGTGCTCAATCCCTAAACGGCTGCACAAGCTAGTGCTGCTCACTTTCTGAAGCCCTTT